CCACCCCCCTACCTGGTCCGCCCCTTGCAGAGGCGTGCCCCCTCATACCTATCGGCGCGACCCGACGGCGGCAGCGCGGCCCCGGCCGAGGCCCCGGCCCACACGGGTCGCGCTGTGAGCAGCCGCTGCATCCCGTGCCCCGCGTCAGCGACACATATCGGCCCGCCGCGTTTCGAGACGGAGCAGGATGTTGAGGACGGAAATCAAAATGTGCCTGCAAGATTGGTTGAATGAATGTCCTTCGAAAAATGTATCAAAGCCCCGGTGGTTGGTCAGCGGCGCGCGCGAACCCAGCGGGGGAATGACCATACTCGCCCCCCTATTTCCGCGATTTTCACGCGCAAATAATTTCTGCGTTTACTTTACTAGTCTATGAGCAAAAGGCATCGCATCGCTATTCTCCAGAGAAGGGGGGGGGGGGGGGGCTTCCCCGAAGCCACCCTCCTCTCTGGAGCCGCCCTCCCGCGCTCTACTCTGAGGGAGAGAGAGAGAGAGGGGGGGGGGGGGGGGGCTGTAATATAGCTTTTGCACTTGCGACCATATCTGAGGGGGAAAATTCAAAACTTGGAGGGAGATGGTCGCGCTTTCACGCCCTGCCGGTTTGACGGTAACTCTGAGGCCGGTGCCCTGCCCGGTGCAGCCGGTGTTACACTCTTGTTTGTGTTTTCACGGAGCCGGCCTGGAGCCGGCCTGGAGCCGCTGGAGCGGGGCGGGATGACTCACCGCAGACACAGACACTGAGGGGCTGGAAGCCTCCAGTTCCAGGGCCGGCAGGGCCCCCACCGCTCACAAGCGGGGCTCACATTTCGTTAACTTTTTGCTTTTGGTTTGTGAAAGGGGGCTCTCGTTGGCTTCGTCGCTGCTCCGGCCAAAAATAAAGAAACCAACCAAAGACCAAAGCAGTTTTGTCTCGTCCTCCGTGTGCGGACAAAGGAAGGTCGGCAGAGGGCACGGAGCCCACCTTTCGAAATTCGGGGTTGTTATTCCTTAAGACGAAATCGGGCATAAATCACTCATTTTGCCGTTTGCTACGAAACCTTCGACGGCATTCTTTTGCCCATGTGCGCTCCTTCACCTCCGGTGCGAAATGGCTAGTCAGAGGTCGGAAGTTTCGAAACGGGTGCAAAGCCATCGATAATGTACGCTTTTTTGATATCGATACTCGACACCCGCTTTGCCACTGACCAGCCCCCGTTCACGGTTGCAGGAACCGCACGGGTCCTCGGCGCCACGGGCCTGGCGCTCGGCGTGGTGGCGCTGGTCACCGTCCTCGTGCTCGCCGGCTTGATCCTCTTCTTCGTGTACCGGCGGCCGCGTCAGCTGCTCAACTTTCTCCAGAACCGAGTGGATGTCGAGACCCCCGAGATGAAGGCCAAGGTACGTACCAGCCGGCCGGGATGTGTCCCTTGGGGTGGCCCTTGTGGTTATTGCTCCTTGAGTGTGGCCGGGTTGCTCACTTTTTCGGTTCTACGGGGACGGGGTGGCCGTTTTGCCCCGTTGGAGCAAGTGGGTATACTAGCCCGTATCCAGGGGTGCGGCCGGGTTGCCTATTCGCACGGCGCCCTAAGGCACTGTGGTAAGATTCGATAGGCAAACCGGGTCGCGCGACTGCATGCGGCTCAGTATACTCATACGCTCCGACGGAACAGAGAACGGCCACCCAGCAGACTACAAAATGCCACAGTGGGATGGACGTTAGGCTCATACCTTCGCCACTCTTCCACAGATGTCCATGAACAACAACAAGTCCTGCGGCGCGGACATCGGGCGCGACCTCAACAGCTCCGTGTGCACCGTGTCCGGCAGCGTGTCCGAGGCGGACCTGCGGCTGCACCACCACCACGCGAGCGCGGGGCCGCAGCAGCCGCCGCTCGCCCTGGCCTCGGCCCTGGCCCTGCCCGCGCCGCTGGGCTCCACGCTCAGCCCGGTGCCGCCGCTGCCGCCCGCGCGCCACCCCTCCGAGGACTCGACGCTGGACTACGCGGCCTACGACAACCCGGCGCTGTCGCCGTCCAGCTCGCCCCTGCCCCCGGGGGTCGGCAACGGCAAGGCGATGGACGCCGTCCTGGAGTCCGTCATGGACCACAACTCGCTCCCCGGGTCCGTGCCACGCCACCTCCTCAACGGCATGCCCAACGGTGCGGTGGCGCGAATGGAGAGCAGTTTCTGACCTTTGACCCACCCTTATCGGCCCTCCGTGCGTGTTGCAGGAACGTAGAACCTACATTGAGAAAGGTTGAAAGTGGACGTTTGTTTTTTAAGCAGAGCTTTTCGGGACCATCCGTTTTTAAGTGGTTGTTTAATTTTCCAGTCCTACCTGAGCACAGAATCAAACCCCTCAACCGTCCAGTGTTTGATAAAGTAGATTCCACCCTTGACTTGCTCAAAATGGTCAATATTTCTCATACAGAACAACGTGATCCCAAACGTGGTATGAGATCTACCTACTACAAGTGATGAATATGTATAATCTAAAATGTATAACTTTTTGAACATCTTAGTAATGAAAGGTCATATGACCTGCACTTTCTTGTGAATGATCATTGTGATATTAGAGCTAAGATTTTATTAAGAAAGCACACTGTCTTTCCATTTTATTGTTGTTGTATAAACAGCTTCTCAGTATTCAAGTTATCAATACCTGTTAAGGTGTTGAATTTCTGGGTTGTGAATAATGTCTTATGTATTCAGCTGTCTTTTGTGAATATAGTATGACAGAAGACTGACCTTTCCAAGTGGAAAAGTGAGAAGCATCTTCTTAACAGGTTCTGTGTGGCGTGATCACTTGCACTGACTATGTTAATGAAGGTACCTTTTTACGATCCATTATGTAGTATGTCGCTTCAGTAGGATGCGAATTAAAGTCATCCCCTCCGCTGTCTCGCAATAAAAATATTCGTTAGTGTTACAGGAGTTATTGGTTTGTTATTGATGGCTCATCACCGATAAAAGATAAAAACAAAACAGTTTTTCATTTTTTGTAAAAATCATAACAGTATCTTTAATCATAATTGTTCATCAATTTAAAGCTTTAAAACACTAAAAACAGATTGGCAGTGATTATTTACTATACAATAAAAAAAACTAAATTAACAAGCTGAGGCCAAAACCATGTTTTTGCTCACAACACATTGGTTGAACACATTTGCACACCCCTTACACAAACCATAGCAGTTAAGGTACAACAGAATTACATAACAGTACCTAACATAGACAACAAAACAGAAATTATGTGAAAATCAAATAAACAGTCCTTGTTGAGCCAATAGTAACACTCAAATCGAATGCTGAAATATTTTCTTTTCCTGGATAGTTCAGATTAGGATACTCAAATGCACTGTAAACCATTACAGCAAAGCACTTTTAACTCTTAATGAATACAGCTTTCTAACCGGTATCACAGTTTCTTATTCATTTAAGAATGACAACTTCAGGCGATAGCAAATGGACCAAGAAAGTACCTTCCGAAAACTTACGGATGTATATTGAGACATCATCCTAATAAGAAATTTCATCACAAAGTAATTATCAGGCTTGATAAAATTCATAGAGAATGAATAGGACCTTATTGACAATCAAGTTATTACAGCAGCTCTAAATGTGGAAAATATAATATCTGTAAAGGTAAGTCTTCAATGCTGCTGGAATAATTTGCTTCAATAAGCCAAAATAAAGATAAAAATAATTTGAGCCATGAACAGATAATATTGTTCAGGAATAATATGGGGTGAATTCTAAGTATCAGTCTGGCCAAATAAAAAAACTTCTGCCATGGGAACATGAACAAATTATCAAATCAAATGCACCAGCAAAGGACATGATGAGCAACCATGAAGAGATCTAATAAATACATTAAAGTTATTTCCTCCAAATAATTAAGAGCAATACACATTTAACACGGAAATCCTCACAAAATTTTAAAAGAACAATAAAATTAGGTACAACCAACATACTAGGTAAGACAATAATACCTTGCAATGGATCTGCATGGTATGACTAGCACTAAAAGTGAAAGTGGAGAAAAGATGAAAGGAATATATTCCTTTAAACTTTACAAATAAGGGTACTAGGGTACCAAGAAAGGTATATTAGAGAAGAACACCATGACTAACTAATACTCTGAAAAATATTGAAAATAAATGTTTCATAGGTATACTGAAAAAATATATGATGAAACACTTAGGAGGTACACAGAAAATATACAGGAGTTACAAAATTAATGTGAAGACTGTTTAGGACTTCCACAGAGCAGTCTTGGCAAATCAGAAGGAATTGGAGACAATCTAGCCAAAGAATAAACCTGACACCATACAGTTAACCAGGTCTAATTTTAGGCTAGAAAGACCATTCTTTTTTTTAATAAATAGATGTAGTAAAGCATAAGTAACAATATGAATGCAAGGAGGTTGGACTAAAACCGATCATGGAATATCCTAAATACAAAGTCCCTTTGAAAGATAACAGTAGGTGAAACTTAACATAGCAAGACTCAGAACAAAATGAAGCAAAAAAGAAATGACACATATCTTAGGATGAAGACTGAAAAGAGAATATATACATATACAGACAGAAAATGTACAGATAAATGATCTAGATATCTACAGTATAAATAATACAAGCTCTTATATCTCTAATAAGATTACATAAAAATACTTAGTCTTTCAGCTGATGGGCAGTCAGTACAGAAGAGCCAATGAGCTCTAAGCTAGGGCCTGAACCAGCCTTATAATAATCTACATGAAATGTAAATGGACTAAACATCACAAAGTCACAAGATGTATTTTAGAAACTATACACCACCCCTAGAACTACACTTTATCCTGTGCTTGTGTGGTGTCTGTACGGAAAGTGTCTATTTTGGCACATATTTTAAGAGCAGGGCCTAGCTTCATTGACATTGCAGCCATGAGGTGGTCAGCTTTCAACAGCATAAGCGCCTGACCATCGATTTCTTGGATAGCAAAATCCTCTGCGTAATCAGTGCATCCTGGAAGGTTGCGAATAAACTCAACTACATCCGATACCTGAAAGAAGAGATTGTTTGTTTAAAAAAAACGAGTTTAGAAAAATAAAATAGAAAATCGTTATGGTTGATTGCATATCAGATTATTGATGTTCTTGGAAAATGCAAGATTATACTATGCAATAACAAAAATATAAGACTCACCGTCCAATTAACAACTGGGTTCACTCCTGGAATTTCAGGTGCACAAGACTTCTGTAAGTCAGAATCTGCTGGTGCTAAAGCTATACTAGTTTCCATATCACTGTCCATTGAATTTGTGTCCTAGAAACAAAATTTTAAATTAGGCTAGTTACAAATTCTTACGTAAAAGATTAATGTGAAGATGCAAGTAAAGAAAAATTACCTTGTTTGTGTTTCCATTAACTTCTGATCCTGGGCCTAATTTCTTATTCTTGGCACAGTTCGGGCTGCAGAACCTCTTCTTCTTCTTAAAGTTGCCCATTTTACCACACGACTCACATTTATTAAGATCTCCAGGAGTTAAATTGTCCATGTTGGCTTTTTTCCCTGCAACCACAAAATTTCTGTTAAACAAAGAAGACTTGAGGGTAAAGTGGCAATGTAACAAAATGAAGTGCACTTACTTGGTGGCTCGTCATCAGACTCTGTTTTCACATCTAAGTTATTTGTTTTGCTTGTCAAGTCACTGAGTGACCGCCCAACAGGGAATGGCTCTGATGCTAAAATAAATAGAAAAGGGACAGATTGTTAAAAATGAAAATTCTTTTGAAGGTAGGAAGCACATGTGAAGAATAAGATGAAAATAATTCTTTCATACCTTCTTGAATAACATAGCCCTCAATAACATGTGTTAACACTTGAGGTTTGACCATTGCTTTTGGTGGACCACTTGTTTTGACTTCATCAACTCCATTAGCTTGAACTTCTCCATTTGTTTTCTCTGTCTTGACCTGAGGTTTGGGTGATAACTGAATAGAAGAAAAATATATGTTAGACACTGCAATACACAGAGAAAAAGGCACCAACTAGTTTTGTAATAAATTAAGAGAGAACCCCACCATCTGAGAGGGAGTTGTTTGAGCTGGTGTTGGTGTTGATGAAGCTTGAGTAGTAGTGACTGTAGTAGAAGCAGCAGGCATTGATGCCACTGGCATTACAGGTCGATCAGACGATGACCCTGACTGAGGCTGGTTGGATTGTTGATTGCCTGTCTGTTGGGCTGGAGTAGGTGCTCGAACCTGTGCTTGTTGCTGAGCAGCTTGTTGAGCCTGCTGCTGTGCTTGCTGCTGGGCCTGTTGTTGAGCCTGTTGTTGAGCCTGCTGTTGGGCTTGCTGATGGTGTGCTTGCTGTTGGGCTTGCTGGTGGGCCTGCTGTTGCGCTTGTTGTTGGGCCTGTTGTTGCGCATGTTGTTGCGCTTGCTGTTGTTGGGCTTGGTGTTGCGCCTGTTGTTGGGCTTGCTGTTGAGCTTGTTGTTGTGCTTGCTGTTGCGCCTGCTGTTGTTGGACATGTTGTTGAACTTGTTGCTGCAACTGCTGCTGAACAAGCTGTTGGGCTTGTTGGGCTTGTGCCTGCTGAACTTGTTGGTTTTGCTGCTGCTGTTGTAACGCCTGCAGTCCCTGAGCCTGATTCTGTTGATTTTGTTGATTCTGAGTTGGCATTTGCTGCATCACAACCATACCCATGGATGGCTTTGGGGCCAATAACTGTCCACCAGTTGACTGCAATTGCATTTGGAATGGTTGCATCACTTGTTGCATGGATTGCATACCCATGACTTTCTGTTGTTGCATTTGTTGGCCCTGTTGAGTCTGCATCATAGTACCAGGAACAAGTTGTTTGTTGTCAGAGTTTACTTGAGAACCATTGGCAACCATCATCCTGTGGAAAAAATAAATAAAAAACAAAATGTTATTATGAAAATTGTTCTAAAAAACCTTAAAAAAATTCAGCGATAATTTAGTTTTGTACCTTGGCATTCCAGAAGGAAGAACGCCACCAACTTTTGCTTGCCCGGAAGCATCTTTGTTCTGGGCCATGTGCATGTTGGGCATGGGTGTTTGGGAAGGAGCAGGTTGAACTGGTATTGGTTGAGGACCTCTTGAAATAATTTTGGTGGGACGAGGTTTCTGCTGATTTTTCTGTGCTTGCACCTGAGTGGGTGAGGCATTCTGAATTGTTTGTGTTGAAACTGAACTAGCAGGCCTATGATTGTGAGAAGGTAGAATGGTTGGGACAGCCCTGGGCTGCATTTTAGGCTGGATATTGGTTTGCATTTCCAAGGTCTGCCTCGGTTTGCCCATCTGCTGGACTGGTTGAACAGTAGTCATTCCTTGCTGAGGCTGTTGTGTCATAGTTTGAGCAGGAGGACTTTGAAGGAACATTTGTGCTGGTCCCGGAGTTCCATCAGGTTGAGTTGGTCGAATAATGATGTGGTTTTGAGGTATTTGAGCTTGCCCAATAATACCACCAGCTGGAGTCCATGTGATTCCTTGAGCAAATGGATTGAAGGGAGTGAATTGCATCTGCTGGCCTCCTTGCTGCTGGAAAAAGAGTTTGGTTAAATTTGGACCAACAAATTAATATTAGGAAACTGTAGGTTGTTTATCTTGACAGACACAAAATAAATATGCAGATTCACACACCTGAAGATTGCTGATTAACTGCGTCTGCCCTGGGAGCATCCCTGTGGGAGCTTGTGTGGTGACATACTGCTGAGGTTGCGAAACAACACATCCTGACAAAGAACCTTGCTGTTGAGCACCAGGCTGCTGTTGTTGAGACTGATTCTGTTGAGCTTGCTGCTGTTGTTGTTGAACTGTTTGTGGTTGAGCCATTGTAGATGATTTCATGCCACCATTAGCAGCACTCACAACTGTCTGGGTAGTGAGCATCTACAAACAAGAAAGTCAAAGTCAGTAAAGTTCTCAGTTGGCCAATAGAAAACCAACTTCATTTTAAAAAGCAAAAGGGTACAGTACCTTCTGAATATCTTGAGGTTTCCCAGTGGGACCACCAGATTGAGCTTGCAACAGATTTGGTTGACTGCTGATTACTCCAAGGTTAGATAAATTGGACAAAATAAGGGTCTGATTGGTGGTAGTTGGAATGTAACCAGGGAATGACGCTGCAATAAATAAATAACAAAATATTAATCATTA